ACGAGTGCCTTTCCCACGCTTATGTTTATGTTTATGTTTCTTATTCTGCATAAATAGGCGTAAGAAAGAACCTCAACAAACGTTTCAGTCATTAAGAGCGAATCGATAAACAATTTAGTGAATCATGTTACAAACAAGATAACTTATTTCAATTAAAAAGGATAAAGGATAAAGCATTTGCCGTTGATCAATCCCTTTTTGGGATGCGGCACGCATTCTACTTCCATTTGTACATTCGTAGTGGCGTTTGAATGCGATGTGGCCTATACAATGACTTGCGGGGGCCAGCCGATGTACAAGTCAGTGTTTTCCTCCCAGACAAGTCTGGTACCAATTAACGACATCGCACTTGCACTTAAAGGCAGTGGCCACGACGCTGGAGGGCGGTGCTATTTCGATGACTCATTGAAGTCGTTGGTGAACTGAACCATTCAGCGTGCTGGGAGTGTGCTTGTGACCGCCTCTTGGCGGTTCAATGACGTCATCGAAACCTTACCACGCTTCAGCCATCGTGTTCGCTGCCTTTAAGTTTTCGGTCTGAGATTGTATAGTGCACTTCCTCGACCGGAGATATGAAAAATCCTTTATCCTGGTTTCGTTACTTGTTTATTTCATTATTCACTGGACGCTTATTTTTTGTTTTCCAAAATTTTCACATTTTTTCATTTCTTCAACATTACCAATGCCTTATTTTTGTCCTTTTCTCTTCCATTTTAAGGCATTAAATTTATGTGACCATGAAATGAATTTGCGCCTCTGGCCGGCAACGATTGCCCAGGGTTAATATTCATAAATAGCCATTTTTCAGCTACCGTAGCATGACGAAGGAGCGTAGCAGCAGTAACACTCGACGACCTATTGACACCTCTCTATCGAATTCTTTTTCCTCAGGCGTTTCATCACTGTCCTCGTCGAACTACGGTGTGAGAACCGTGAGGGTTTTCAAAAATGGGGACCCATATCATCAAGGCACGAAGGTATATTTTATCATTTTTATGAAGTGCTGCTTCTGGAAGTCCTCCTCAAAGCCAAATCAATCAAAATTTTCGGTCATTTTACCTCATTTTGTAGCAAAAACCTACAAACGGTGTCCAACACCCACTTCCATATGCATGTGATCGATTATGGACAAAATAATGACGCGAAGCTTTATCGGGGTATGAGTAACCCGTTGCGCGAATGTGTGTCGTTAGGTCCGGCAAGGCAGTATGCACACTTGTCGCGTGCAGTGGCTTATAATGGGTCCGGCAGTCATTTCGAGATGTTTGTGCATTATGTCTCTGTAGTGTGTAAGAGTAGAAACATGAATCGGTGGAAACCCAGACGTGATGAGAACGGTGTAGGAAAGTGAAAGAACAGTGCGAAACGCAACTGAATGAGGCACCTCTGATTTAGGCTAAATATTATGCGCCAGCATATTATGGGCCAGCATAATATGCTGGTGGTGAGGCGACCTCTTGGGTACCCCCCAGGAGGCCCGTCGCGCGGCAAGAAGGCAGAGTCGGCGGACGAGTTGCAGCGCGTGATGTGCGATGTAGGACGTGCAATGGGACACTCTATTTAACTTGACGCGAAATCCCTAGTGCGCGCGCGACTCGTCCGCTGACTTTGCCTTTTTGCCGCGCGACGGGCCTCCTGGGGGCACCCGGCGACCCTTGGTGAGGCGGTCCTGATCAGAATGAATTACGAGAGGAATTCCTCCCATCACGTCTTTGCAGTTGTGGGGAGTAGTGTACGAGAGCGAAATGTAGAGCACGAAACGCAGCTTTTTTATCGCGCGTGGGAGAGTGAATGGTCGCCGCGCAGAGTGGTGGAATAACAGGACTGAATTCCTTAGTGCAGTTGTTGAGATAGAATACTACCGATTTACACCTTGGTCCGACTCACTAACACCATAACCCAGCACATTATATAGTAAACGTGTTCGGTTCGTATACCACACTAGTTCGCACAGTCTGGCCAATCACGGCTGTCGCAAAGTATGCAACGTAATATGGCGGGCGGGTTTCTACCAATCATGATACAAAAGCCAGCACGCGCGGTTTAGGAAATGCAGGGGTAGGTTTCAATGAACTACTACGTTTCCGCGCGCAAACACGTGAGGAACTAGCGATTATACTAACCCCTACTTTTGTGCTCGTTTGTGCTGCGTCCATTATGTTTAGCGAGCACAATTTAAAACTACTGCATCCGATGCTACCCAGACCGTCTTGTCAACCCTTCCCAGGCCGCGGTACCGACAGTGAAGACCTACTGCGCGGCGAAGAGGCGCAAAACGCAGAATTATTCTCGTCCTTAGGCCGATGTCAGACTTTGCGAATCGCGCGATTCGCTAGCGTCTGCGGTCGCGTCGCGGCCAGTGAATCACTCAATTGGCTGGTACCGCAACGCGACCGCGGACGCTAGCGAATCGCGCGATTCGCAAAGTCTGACATCGGCCTAATTGAGTCGACACAAATAGACAGGGCCCGTTCGTGTATTTCTTTGCGTCTTATCGCTTCGCGGCCAGTTCAAAAGCTGCGCAAGACCAACCTGGGTAGGCTTCTGGTCTGGACCCTACCAAGCATTGGTCTGCCGACCGTTCGAACCTCTACGAAAGGTTGCTGCCCTGCAAGATGAAGCACGAAGCTGAGATTGGATGCTGCCCACTTAATTTTCTCGCCCATTACTTCGCGCATTTGATCGCGCACAACGTGCGGGGTGTACTTGCTGCCCACACAAGCAGCGTTGCAAGCACAATTCGCTTATAAGAAGGTGGTATTGTAGGCAGCTTGATCTTCTGCGTCGTTGTCGGTAGGGTCAAACAAGGTGCGGTAGTAACGAGTCACTATGCCCAAAATGACTTTAGCGTCACTATTTCCATCTGGTATAATATTTGGCATTATTTGGGATCTTGAGCAAAAAAAATAATATTTGCAGTTCGTTGTGAATCGCCGCTATGTGCACGATTTGGATCACATGCTGAACCTATTGAGGTATGTTGACCTTAACCTCTTGAAATAGCCCTTATGTGTCGGACAAGCTAGAGAGGAGCGTAGTAGAAGGACGCCTTCCGATGACTTCAAGTCCACATCTAGCAACCTCTCGGCGAATTCTAGCTAGTTTTAGTGCCCTTAGGGGAGGGGTAAGGGGCAGGCTGTCACATTCCGTAAGGTTTACGGCAACCCTCATTTCCTAGAGAACTGAGAACTAAAGCCCAAGCCAGAGAACGAGGCACTGTGGATTGCAAAAGTTAATCGCTTTGCCCTAGGGCCTTGAGCTTAAAATTAGGTTTTACAGCAAATTTAAAGTTAAGCGTAATCTTGGTGCGAGGGGCTATCATCCTCGTCCTCTCCCACACACTCGAAGAATTCTGCGCCCTCTTTATTTACTTTACTTAATTTACCCTTTACGAAGGAAAAAAAAACAGGAAACAAAGTCAAAAAGTAAAAATTAGAAGTAGAAACTTAATAAACAAAGAGATACATACAAGATCTTGCCAGTAACTGCAACCGCTCGCAGGGGACCAGCACTTCTTGTTTTCTCGGAGGATATAGACGAGAAATGTAAAGAAACTGACCATTTCTGAAGCTTATTTTCAGTGAAAAAATTGACTTACCATACGGCGCAAAACGACTTTTCACCACTAACGGCAAACTGGTTCGGCACTTAAACGACATCGAGGACAAACAAGTAAGCCAAATTGTTCAATGCAGTCGATTTTTTTCCGTAAAAAGTAATAGTCAATGTTGAGACATAAGCGGTTTACATTCAGGACTATGTAGCGTCGTCGAATCAGTTCATACCACTCAAGTACGGCAATACCACGACTTCCATTGGTCATCCATTTCGTAGCACATCACCAATCAAGTAACTTTCATATTACCATATAATAATTACTTATCGAAAACATCTTACCTCGAATATTTTCATTGAATTTCATTTGGAACAGGAGCACAAGCTTACCGCTGCCGGCCATGTTTTTAAGGCGGTGATCGCGATTCCCAGAATTCCTAGAGGGCGTTACAGTTTTGATGACGTCACTGGACGCCATTCACGCCGCGGCACCGCACAGGCCAAATTTCGTGGCATTTGGTCCAAGGTGCACTATCCCCTTGCTCACGTCTGCGTTTTCTCCTCAGTGGGATTCCTTTTCACTTTGTTTGAGAAGACAGGCAGGGAAGACGGTCCCAGATATATCGAGGGCATCAGAAAACTACATGTTATTTTTTCGAGTCCTTTGCCACATGTGCTATTGAATTTGTATTTATGACATGCGGTCTCGGGAAACAATGTATAGATGGAAGTACTACAGCATAAGCATTAAAATAGACCAGCAGTTTGAAGTAGTAATTGTATATGTTACAGTATGATTACACCGCAATCACGAAGTCAAACGCGTAGCGAATCGAGACCTGCTATCATAAAACGCTCTCAGAGTGGACTGGTGTCGATTTTATACTTAACGGCTAACTTTTTCATAACTGAGTGAAGAGGCAAAAAGCAAATTCCGTGACCGTCAATGACCGATTCCTTTCTTGAATAAAGTTAGCTAGGCACTCAAACTGAAAAACTAACGTGTTTAAAAAATTGAAGAATACGCATTTTGGGTAAAAAATTAAGCTTCTGACTAAATTTAACCACCTTACAGACCAGCGCGTCGACCACATCGGAAAAGAACCGCGAAACCTGGCTTGTACCAAATCTGGCAAGTGAACGCCCTGTCAAGACAGACCGCTTGACGGGAAATCCTGAAAGAAAAAGGTTTTGCCCCTAACGTTTTGGGTTTTGACGCTATAAATTTATCAAAGGTGCTTTTCAATCTTGCTGCTGCGTATTATTATTATAGTATTAATGCATTGTTTAGTAGTGAAGAAAAAGAAGAAAACCGAAACCGAAGTGATAATCCCTGTGGCCAATGAGAAAGAGGAAACGAAAGAGACGAAAAAGGAGGTGAAAGAAGAAAAGAAAGAAGAAAAAGAAGAAGGAAGAAGAGAAGAAAGTGGAAGAGAAGAAGACCGAGGAGAAAAATGAAGAGATAGTCGTACCACCGGCGACTGAGGAGACACCGCGAACCATCGAAAGATCACCGTCCCTAAAAAGGAAGATTCTTCTGAAAAGCCTGATGCCAGTGATGAAGAGCACAAAGAAGAGAAGTGAGTTTCCCGAGATTTTGCAATTTTTTCCTATTTTGTTCTTGATAGATAAAAATGAATAAACATAAATAATAAATAAATAAATAAATAAATAAATAAATAAATAAATAAATACATGTAATAATAAATAGGTATTATGGAAACTGGTTATACCGTCAGTTACCGTTACGCATCGTGCAGGCAGTTGCAGCTTGGCGTGCACGACCTGAAGCGACGAATTTGTGGCATTTCTAGAAGCGTGATTACCATGTGGCTTTATTGCTGCAAAGGTTGCGCGACGCGCAGCAGGACCTACATTGTAGTTCACTGTCGGCTCGCAGGGAGCTTTATATACTTCAATTAAAGTATGTATAGCGCTAATGTCTGTCTGGTCTGTCTGCCTATCTGTCTGTCTGTATCGGTGTTTGTCAGGAAATTGGCATCATCCAAAAAATACTCTAAGAAATGGGGCCATTCGAAAGATACCTTAGGCATGGTCTATTTACGGGGTACAGCTGAGGCGAGGGCCACTCACGGTACTTGCGGCTTCCACAAAAAGAACCATAACGAGGTCTGAAATTACCGTAATCCCAGAGTAACGCTGATCGGCGAAAATCAGTTGGATGGGGTTGAACACCAGTTTTCCTCGTCAAGTGAGGTTAGCCCAAATAAAGGCAACTCTAACTTGCTCGTAACAATCCAAAGCTTAAGCCTAAACTTAAGCTTCAATAATCGCGCAGATATGGTGACCCAACCCAAGAGGGGAAGTGAAAGCCTCCTAAGGAAGCACAGTAGCGGTCAAAAGTGTTCGCCAAAACAGTTTCTCGTGCATCAGTTTTTTTTCTCTTGAATAACTCTTGAAGGTTTCCTAAGGATTTTCCTCTTCAGTTTTTAATCCTTAGCATTCTTAATCCTTAGCAAATGAGGAGTCAAGAAGATTAGATGATACCAACATATCAGTCTCTGAAGGGAATTGGTCAGGTAAAGAAACAGTGCACGAAAAAGCGTTTCGGCCGCAACTGTTATTCGCTCAAAAAGGAGGGAACGGTTAGGTCAATGTCGTGGTGGGCGGAGCGAACACTGAAGTAGGCGTGGCCGAGAAGTACACATTAATGCGGAGCCAACTTGATTGTTACAAAAATCTATTGTGTTGTCTATTTCTGTGCCTGTTGAATCGTTTTCAACCAACGAGCGATAAAAATTTAATTGGGTGAAAT